TTCCAACTAGGGTGGGCTATCTCATACCTGAATGCAGTTTTGTTCACATAAGTTCACTAAAAGATGAGAAGAAACACGAAATGAAACTGAAGGCAAAGTATAAGGTGTAAGTTGCACATTTGCTCCATCTGAGGAAGACTTTATTGAATCTGGCACAGGGATTTGAATAGTCTGTGTTTATGGATGTTTTGAATAGCCACATGAATGTTTATTTGAGAGATAGCAAGGTAAAATTCAACTTTAACAAATATTTGTTTGCCTAAGCTGGTAAATGCTATGTTGAGGTTGACTACCTAGTAAACCTCTGAGATGGAAAGGTAATGAAGTTTGAGTCAGAATAAGATGATGCTGTCTGGGATTTGATATTTGGCATTTGTAACCTTCTTACTATCAGCTTTTAGCCTTTCCCCAAATGAGTTACAGGGATGTAAAGCTGTTAATAATTCATCTGTGCCTCTCTGTTCCTTGCAAATGCATACCTAACCAGTAGAGCAGGGCAGATGTAACTGAGGTCTCATTCAGCAGGACTTTCAGGAAGGCCTCCCCCATGACACTCACCTATGCCTCTGGAATCATCTCATGAATTAAAAATGGGCAGACGTAGCCAAGGTCTCCCTTTCCTGGGGAATGCTTTCATTTAGGCTTTACTCTGTGGCAGCCTCTGTACTGCATGAATTGATTTTGCATGTAATCAACAAAACTGAGCATTTCCACTCTACATGTGCAGAAATAACAGAAGAGCATGCCTTACTCTTGCTTGAAATATAGTCAGGCTTGTATCTCCATAATGCAAACAGCAGAAGTGGGAGGGATATCAAATCCAATGAATAATTTATGAAATATCAACTCTAACCATATGCCAAACAAGAAAAACATCAAAGGAGAACATGACTAAAGCCTAATGTATGCAACAGAGAACTGTGTAGTGTTGACATAGTTCAAAGATATTGGTATGCAACAATGAAACACGGTGAGGCTGATGTCTTCAAGACATTTGGTGAGCCAAGTTCCAAGGCATCTGATTAAAATGCATGTTTTAAACAAAAGGTTATATAAATAATACTGTAAATCTCAAAATCCTTGATCTTCAATTTTAGTTTTTTAGGAAAATGTGTAATCATCATTTTGTGTATTTCATTTTTGGTTTCATCTTAGACCATATAATGGCTTTTGTCAGTAAGACGTAAACCAGTTTCCCCAAATGGCTTTATAGCGTGCTCTGTATATGGACCAAGGCAATGCATGTCTTTTTCAGTGGTTTCCATCCCTTCTAATTATTTCCTATATAATTATAAGTGCATAATTAGGTATTTTTGCATAGACAGCATTTATCATTTTTTTTAAAAAAATATTTTTTAAAACATGAAGTCAGGGTAAATTAAAATTACGTCATTGGAGATCAACTGTCCTAAGGGAATTTCAGTTTCCTAGTAATAGCAATTCCAATAAGATCCTTAAATACTCAGAATATTGCCAAAACCAGTGGATAGATTTGAGACCATTCAAAGCCATCTAAAATTAAAAGTGTTAATCCAGAGAGAGTTTAGGATGCATGAGTAATTTAGTCATGTTAATTCTTGAGGTTGAAGAGGGAATTCAGCACTTCTTTGGTGTGAATGAAATTTCAGCTACTAAGTGCTGAGTCCTTATTTATGTTTAGCCATGCAGAGACTTACTATCAGATTATGTTTACTGTTGTAGAAAACATCATAAAAATCAATACAACTAGTTTTCCCAGTAAACATTGTATTTCTTAATTAGTGTTTGTGTGATCCTGCACCCATTAATATCTGATGAAAAATTTTGCAGTCACAGTGTAAATCCAGAAAAAATTTCCTCACATGGAAACTTAAGCATGTAGGTGCTTGTTATATTGTCTCATCATAAGGTAATATATCAATCAGGAAAAAGAAACTTACTGGCATGTGGCACAGAAGATGCTGTTTTAAAGGCACGGTAAGAAATAATGTTTTTAAAGACCTTCTCCAGATCTCTCTGAAGATGCTGACAATCTTTCCAGGACGGTGCATACTGAAAGGGCCAAGCTAGTGAAAGAGAAGTAGAATTTAGCTGTTGTGTTCACCACTCAGTCTGTCTCCCAAAAGGAAAAACTGTAAGTGTTATCATTCACAGTAATCTCCAAAAGCAATAGATAGGCTGTAAGTAGTGTGCTGGGTGGTTTATTCACAGTTTCTTTTATGGGCTAAGGGTATAACTGGACCATTGTAGGAGTTCATAGTCTAGTTCTGGTGAATGTCTTCCCTTCCATTGTGCTTTTTAACTTACTAGTATAGATGTAGCCAGAAAGGGACAGTTTGAACTTTGTTGCAATCCAGGAAATTACTGAAAAACTATGGTAGAACTGAATGCAAGGCTTAGTTGCTCAAGTCTTAACGGAAAGACCTCCTCTGAAAAGTGATTTGGAAAGATTTGTCTTCAGATCCTTTCTTTTACTCTGTTTCAACCAGAAGTTTTGATCATTCTCTATATAAAGAGAAAGAAAGGAAAAAAAAATTAAAAGAAGCACTGTTCTGATTTGTATTGCAGTTACACAAAAAACCAGCTTTTGTTATACAGAGCCTTTTGGTGCTTTTGGAAATATCAGGCAAAGTTTCAGGCATTTCAAATTTTATTATTCAGTGTTTCCTCACAAGTTTAAGTTAGTATTAATTTTTCAACTTCATGTTTCTGAAAAATTTGCCATATTATATTTGATCTAAAGGACGCAATTCTGAAGTGTCTTCTGTCTAGGCAACTGGTGTTGACCTCAAGGAAATTATATGCTTACTTGCCAGGTGGTATTATGTTAATATACATTTGTAGCTCTCAGATTTTGCAGAAAAATGTAGCTAGATTATTTCTCTTATTGTCTTCTATTACACAGACAAAATGTAATCTTAACCCATATTTCTGTAAATTTTAGTTCAGAATTTAGAAAAGTTAGATTGTAGTTCAAAATAGCATTTGAAGTAAGTTACACTATCATCTTCTTGAAGGTTATGATATCAGATAAATTGTAGCTAAATGTTCATGTGATGGTTTTCAGTAGATAATTTATATTAGCTAAGGAGCTAGTCTGTTACTTTGTGAGCCTTTAGAAAATTTATTCAATTTTAAATGAATAGCTATGTCAGTATCTGCTGTTATAGGAGAATATGAGGATATTAGAAGCACTCTTCTTCAGCTCCTGTGTTCGACTTCTCTTTGAATCCCCATCCATTTGCTTTGGAGAATGCAGTTAGGGAGTTGAACTTATCTTTTATATGAAAAAAATAGCATTAAAAAAAAAGAAAAGTTTTAATTCACTTCTTAGTGGATACTGCTAAGTTATTGTCACACTAGCAGTGTAAATTACATTTTACCTGTTGTTTTGAAATAAATCTAGACGCATACATTCAGATAATTCTCTGTTTATGAAGACTGTCCAAGATATGGGTTGATTAAGAGGGACGGATTTGATAGGGTATAGCCTTTTATTGTATGTTAGTGGAAAGACTGAAAGTTTGGGCAAAGATATAGCAGTGTTGGTCAGTACCTTGATTTCTATTTGCTCTTTTACCTAAACTACTCATAATACAAACTGAAATGAGTACCAAATGAGTACAGATTTTGCAAATCTCAGGGAATGTATTTCAAGGATGGATTTTCAGATCGAATTCTAATGGGTGGGTTAATCTAGATGGACACAAAAAGTCCATGATTGAACATGTGCTAACCATGACTTCAGGCTCATAAAATACTGGTGAATTTAACCTGTGCATACCTAAGTAATGATACTTAAGTTACAAATTTGACATATACCAGTCTCAAAAATTCTACTTTCTCATTTCTGGAAATTTCAAAGATCCTTATCCCTTCAGATTGCAAAGGACCTGTCAGGTGGTCTAGTCTGAGATCATAGACAATACTGGTACAGAATTTGAGGTTCGTCTGGTGTGCAACAATATGCAGTGTTTTCTGTGGCTAATAAATGTATACTGATAAATGTCCTGCGGTTATACTCTGTTTAAGTGTTCTGGTAACTGATGTGCCACTCAGGTTATGGTCACTTAGGAAAGGGTTCATTTAGTAAAATCAAAAATAGGCAGCTACTCTAAGCTGGTGGCTTCTTTTATATTCATGGATAGAGATATCATAATTCTTCCCGTTTGTCTTAGATGAATGCTTTTTCAGGAAGAATCCTGGAGCTGCCTATATCTTTCTTGATTTCCTAGACAGAAAAACGATTAATGTCAGGAAATAGCTCTCCCAATGCTGTTGGCATACAGTGAGAGAGCAAATTGCAGAACATTATTTCATTTCATGTAACTTTTCACGTTTTTATTTGTGTTCATTAAGCTGTCAAATGGTTTTGAAAGGTTCATTTTGTTTTTCAGTAAGGAAAAGATGCCTACCCTTGCTTAAAATTATGGTACAGCTTAGATTAAATGCTTGCAAAAGGTTATTAATCTTAGCATTTTCTTTACAGAGACACTAATATTTCCATCTCATCTTCTTTTCAGAAAATATGATACTTTCATGTTACTTTTCTAAGTTGCGTTTTTAGGTAAAGCTCTCTTGAGTCAGTGAATAATTTTTTAGATGCATAACTGAGCTTTAGATCAGCACAGTATTACTGTATACAATATTAATTAACTTAGAACTGTTTTTAAAATGAGGTACTTTCTTGTCCAAAGAAAAGTTATTTCATATCCTAAAGTACTTTGGTTGAAATTCTGGTTCCATTGAAGTCAGTGGTCAAGTTAGTAACTGTTTCTTCAACACAGTTTGGCCCCTTAAGGTCTTTATCTGTACATAGTTTTATCGCATTATATTATATGCTTGTATATGTAGGAGTATATAGGTATTTCAAAAACAGATTACACAAATACAGATATTTTTTATCCATACAAAATGTTGATATTTATATAGTGCAAAGTCTGTGATATTGATTCATTATACTGTTGTATTTAAAATACTTAAAGTTTTTAATTTATTTTATATTTTTTTTTCCTTTTTAGCTTCCCCATGGGTAGACAAAAGTCGAACTCCAAACAAAATAGATCTGTATGACGTTCGCAGAAGACCATGGTAAGCTTTCTTTAAAGGACTGATGTATATACATCACTTACTTTCTAGATATGACTGTAAAGACAATTTTTTCTGAGTATTTATATCTAATAATCCTTACTTTTAGGTATTGCTATTTGTTTTTATAAAATCAATTAATTCTTCTGAATAAACAATTTTCAAATCATACTATTTGTTATGCAATATCCACTATAGTGCACTGTACTGTTGCATTACATGGACCTTTTCATAGGAGGATAGCTATCAAATATGTATAAGGCAATTAAAAACTTTGATTTTGTGCAAAATCAAATGTAATTCAGATTATTAGATTGAACCATTCTTCCAGACTTTTGCAGGTGTTTACAAATATGTCTCAGTGGTTTAGACTATCAAAAAAATCACTAGACTGATAAAAGAGAACAGTGGGATTGTTTCTCATGATTTTTTCTGTAAGCCTCTCAAGGCATAATGCATATTGATACTTGGATTCATACTAGTTGAATATAATCTTTCAAAGGATGAAGTATTTTTCCCTAAGCTGGGCTCATGTAATAACTCATCTGTCATCAAGATCTTTAGCTCTGAAATAACATTAATGTTTTTCAGTTATCAGCATCTGAAAATAGTGAATTTTGATCAGTGTATCCGACTTCCAGGCTTTCCTAATGCAGTTTGGACTTTGGTGTACTTAGAAGACACAGCAGGAGAGAAAATGATGGCACATGGTTTTCTGCTAGCTACACAGGAGGATTTTGTTGGTTCAGCTAGATTTAGTTTAGAGATCGTAGAGTATCTTCCATCACACACAACAAATGTGTTTTCAAGTTTGTGTCATTCGTACCCTTTATTTATTTCAGGTATATCCAAGGAGCTGCATCTCCCAAAGACATGCTTATTTTAGTTGATGCGTAAGTGTTTAATGTCTGGTTGTTGTCATTAGAGGGATAATAGTACTTAAATATATTGAACAAATCGCTGTATGCTGAAAAAGAGAGAGAGGATTAAGAAGTCTCTATATGCAAGGATCAAAAATCTTGGTATGAACAAAATAAATACAGAGGAAAAAATAGTTCCAAAAAGCCCAAACCAAACCTGAAAGTTATTTAAACTGGACACAAGTGGTCTTTAATCAATTTAATATTATTCTGCTTTCAGCTTCTTAATTACTGAAATAATCAACTGAAAATTTTCACATGCAGGCCAAGATTTGTTGTCAAACACAAACCCAAAAAGAAATTGCTAGAAGCATGAAAGTAGATTTAATCATGATTTCATGAGCCTGAAAGATGAGAATTTATGCAGACTTCACATGTTTTACCATACATATTTAAAAATTGCCAAATTCAGTTACTATAAAACATTAATAGGAATTGAGCAAAGAAATTAATAAAAACTCTCTCTTTGCTTTGGCGAGGCATCCTTTGTTTAGCTAATGTTGAGGGACCAAAGGAAGCACTGAACCTGATGTGTCAAAGAGATTGCTTTATGCTGAAAAAATTCTTAGTAAGAGAATTTGCATTTAATGCTTTTAAATGTGATGAAGTGCTTTCATATCAGCAGTGAGTTTTATCAACATTTATTATTTCTGCACTTCAGCTTAGGTTTGAGGTGGTAAACTAACTCGGATTTCTTGAAATGAAAATGAGCAAATGATGCATCATTATGATTTCATCTGAGCCACAAGACTGGGACTTTGAATTCCAGTTTTGGACTTTATTTTTTATTATAATAATGTAATAACACTAATGGTGAGTTGGAGAATTCAGGAGAATTATTGACAATTCAAATGTGACAGATGGCGAGAGTGCTGGTTGGTGATCTGTATTTTCTTTGTACATTTTAAATAATATTTGTTAAATTCAATTTTTCTATTATCTTGTGGACTTCTGTTAGGAGCGGGAGTGTCAGTGGATTGACATTGAAGCTGATCCGCACCTCGGTCATTGAGATGTTAGAGACCTTGTCTGACGATGACTTTGTGAATGTAGTTTCAGTGAGTATCTGTTCTTTCCACAAAATTTACATTGTCAACAAAGCCATAAGCAAACTATTTCTAATGCCAGTTATGAGATATTTGAATGTTAAGCTGCTAAGAGACTTAAAATATATTGCAAAATACCACATTTGGCTTACTGTTTTCTTGTAAAGTATAGTGGAAGTCCTAGATTTGTTGCTATCTATACATTTGAGTGAAGGGCTAATTAGCTGCAGTAAACAACGAAGGAGGTAAAGCAGAAGTCATTTAAACAAACGTCTTTGTAGCCAAATTCTCCTTTCCAATATATTATTCTGGTCTGTGTAACACATCTTCTATTTGATTGGCATATGCAAATTTTCTGAAATAATTGGTTCAATAAAACCTGCTTCCCAGGTTTTATATTGTTGTATGAGATAAAGTGATACAGAGAAGGTAGGGGGAAGTTCCTTCTTCCAAACAGCAGACATTTGGGTTGCTTGTGTTAATTGATGCACGATGACAGAAGATGTACAGCCATACATCTGACCTGCCAAAAAGGTGCGCCCAAGAAGTTCTAAGAGGTAGCAATTTTATGGGTAGCAAAGCAATTTTTCCCTTAATAAGTAACATAATAGAGGGGAGAATCCATGAAGGAACTTAAAAACGCACGTAATTTATGCATACAGAGGCAGCATATGTGATGTGCAGGTCAGAGGGTTATTAGGAGGGTAGGACTGTAAGGATTGTCAAATGAAGGTGATGCTGGCTTTTTCAGGGCTGGCATTTCAGTTGCTGAGATCTTTCAGAACATGATCTGAAATTTTAGTACTACATGTAATTACTACATTTCAAACTTGACTACTAGACTTAAAACTTCTGTTTCTATATAATAGAGTTTTTAAATAGTTCTCTAAAACAGTTTTGGGGTTTTTTTGAATGGCATTTTGTCTTTCTAATATTTGCCTGGAATTTAAAGTGCAAATTTCTGGTTTTCAAGAAAGCTGAAAGCAAAGTAAAATAGATTTGGGGAGGCGAAAGATGGTATGGGCAACTTTCAGTTTTCAGGCTGATACCTTGGATGTCATGCTCTAGCCTGGGGCAAGGCTTTTTTATTTTTTATTAAGCTGTTGAACTGTAGAGCTTTGATTCTAAGGATTTAGGATGGGAACATTGACTTACTCTTAATGACAAGAGACAGCCTGCGTGGTGAGTAACTGGAATGATTTTGGAGGCAATTTTCAACTTTTACAGATGTGTTGTAGCCAGCCTGCAGGGAGAAAGACCTGAAATATCATGATCAGAAATCTCTTTGAACACCACTTATTGCTTTGTTTGCTGTCAGTCTAGCTAGACCTTTCTCCAAGTAGTAGAGAGAAGCTTTTATCTGCAATGGTATTTCCTTTGTTAAAGTTTTTAATAGTGTTTTATACTGTTTTCTTAGGTCTAAATTGCAGTGAAAACAAAAAAACCCAACAACCTAATTTTTTTATTATTATTATTATTATCATAGGAAATAAGCTTTTCTGTACTGACATTAGAGAGCTGAAATCTTGTTGTTAGGTTCACTGTTTTTTTTAAAAAAAGATTCTAATCTTAAACTGCTGGAAATTGATTACTGTGTTCAGTGGAGCTGTGCCAGCTTTTGCTGTTGGAAGATCTGGACCCCCACTACCTCTTGATTTACATAGCTTTCCAAACTCTTTCCTTCATTTACTCCCAGCTGACCAGAAATTGTGTATCTTCCTTAGGCTCGGGGTATTTTATTAGCTAAGGTTCAGTATTATTCTAGCAAGGCCCCAAGGTTGGGATTTGTGTCGAAAAAGGACTAGATATCTTTCAATATTTTCAACACTACATTTTCCCAGTGGTATGTAACTTACAATATGTAAGGACCTTTCTTCTTTGAATGAACTTTAGAGGCACACATCAGATATTTGACTGCAGAACCACAGAGGACTTTTTGGTCATGCTGTGTTCATCCTCAGAGGAAGGCAACACTCTCAGAAGTACACGTAATAGAACATGGCATCTCTAAATCTTTTATAAAGTGCTATTTGGTGTTGTGCATTTATGATTTAAATTTCCATATTAGATCCTTTCAGTATTGCAATTACTTTTGTATAACTTGTGTTTTCATGTATTGGAATTGTGGGAGACATTGTGTTCTGACATTTGCTTTCTCTAACGGAAAGGGAATCATATGTTATAGATAGGAAACAAATGGTTGTACTACTACAAGGCATTCTTTAAACGAGAGAAGTGAACACTGAAGTTTGGTCTTTTTTTTAGGATTTTTCCCTTTTTTTTAGTTTGCTTAGGTTTTCCACAGTCCCACCAAAGCCTCAAACCAAATCAAGCACCAGACGTGACACCGCATAAGGTGATATATTATCACACTCAGTATTATTTGTTCTTAAGATTATTCACAAAAGCATATACACAGGCCTAATTTTTATAAAGCATTCATCCACTGCAAAGTTGGTATTAGTTGCTGTGCTGTTTTCCTGTATGTTGTTTTATTTTTATGTTTGATTTAGATATCATGACACTTGAGGTGAAACAGTACATTGGAACAATCATTATTCTGATCAATCAGATCATTGAGAATCACATATGGCTTTCATTTAAGAGGATTTCTTAGAGGGTCTGAGATCTCATCTATTCAAATATTAAATTCTTCACTTTACTGCTTAGTTTTTTCCCACTTATTCTTCCTTTTATACCTTTGGTGAAAAGCCTGATCCTGATGATTTATTAGGTTTATGTACTGTGTTAAAAGGCAGATGGTTCATTAATTTATGTCTAATTTTAAAATAATCTCATTTTTCTTTTTTTTTTAAATGATCTGAGGATCATATGGAGATCCTCATATGGAGGTTGAGGGAGGTGATTCTGCCCCTGTACTCCGCTCTGGTGAGACCCCACCTGGAGTACTGCGTCCAGCTCTGGAGCCCTCAGCATAAGAAAGACACGGACCTGTTGGAGCGGGTCCAGAAGAGGGTCACAAAAATGATCAGGGGGCCTCTGCTATGAAGAAAGGCTGAGAGAGTTGGGGTTGTTCAGCCTGGAGAAGAGAAGGCTTCAGGGAGACCTTATTGCAGCCTATCAGTACTTAAAGGGGGCTTATAAAAAAGATGG